ACCATAAATATGTGCGATCCTTGTTGCATTTAACATTACGTTCAATGCACTTAAGGTGTAACTAATCACATTGTTGAACCTGAGCCATCAACACATCTTGAATTCACTAGAGTTGTGAAAACCAGCTACAATACAAACGTGTATTGAGCTCAACTCTTTAGCAATCACCTTCTGATGTATTCAACACTTGAATACCCGACAAAGCAGCTCAACAAAATCACTTAACATGCTTAGAAGACCTCCAACTTGTTAACTCAATAGAAAATCTCCACAAGCTTCACCACTTATGAGACGTTCAATCACACATTCTCCACCATAGCGTATGTCAAAACCAATACAAATAACACCTCTGCAAAACTTGATTCCCTTGCTAGCTTCTTGGATTTCCTCATGCGCATTGAGATCAAAACCCTTTGAATTCACTTGAACCATATGCAGAAAACCATAATCACATTAGCCTCAAACCTGAAGCTCTTTGATTCAACTTGTAATCAATCTCACCAACAGCTTACACCATCTGAAATTGACCTCACTAATTTGTTTAAAACCAGCAATTCAAGAACATAACCCATGCTCAATCATCTTGCTAAAACAGAACACACCAACAGCTTGATAACCAACTACTAGCAACCTTTAACACGTCTCTTATCACCAAAATCTTGTGATATTCATGAGACACATCCTTACAACAGCGTGCACATCATTCCTTGATGTCTATTGTAGCTGTAAAAACAACCTGCAATACTTCTTCTTGTATGCAGCCTTCACCCAAACGAATTGGAGCTTGCATCATTCAATTTGCAGTCTTTATCCAAGGCCTTCTTCTTCTCTAAGAACATTCACTTCCCTGACCTGCAAATGACCTCTAATGAGTAGATACTTATGTAGTCTCCTTGTTATGCAAACAAACAACTTTGAACCTTAGTTGTTTCCTCTCAAATGCAGCTTGATTTTTCTGCATTTTCAATCTTTCTAGGACTTCTCTTTTCCACCTTCTGACACTAGTTTTGAGAGATGAGTTGTTTATCAAGATAGATACACAACACTTTCACATTCTTGAAGTAAGCAGCCTTGAGACAAATCCTCTATCACTTGCTTTTGTCTCTTTCAGATTCTTCTTTTAGAAAATCCATTAAAATTACTTCACTAGCTTCCTCTCAAATCACCACTTTGTGTCTTCTCTGAAAGAAATCAGAAAACCTGCAACTTCTAGAAACTTACAACTCATTTATGAATACCCTTCCCAACACCCAGCTTCAAATCAAATCTATAAACTGACTTTTACCATCAGATTATAACCATGTTTAAGCTGAATGCTTATTGGTAACCATCTGTTCTTAGCTTCTTTGCATACAGACCTTCCTTGAATCATTTTCAACAGTGAGTTATGCAATCTTTTAACTTTTTGGTTTCTGAGCTAAACATCTTGAGACAACCTCCACAAACTTGAGTTACTCCACCTGAGCTGAACACGTTTCTCGTGTAGCAGCAATACTTCACCTAAAATAATAACGTCGTGGATGTATTCTGTCTCTATAAGTTCATCTTCACAAATCTGAGTTCAACCCCTTTTCACTGTATCTTTGATCAACTCACACGTTCTAATGCATAAAAAAACAACAACCAAGAACCTTTCTATGATTCAGCAATCATGACTTCATTTAACTTGGAAACTTCCTCACATTTTGATTGAGAATAACTTGGATTGACCTTTAACAATCTCCACCTCAAATTAGAAATCAAAGACCTTGATCTCTCCCTTTGCAAAATAAACATATACCAATATGTGTACCGCTGCTTGAACAGAAAACATTCTGAGAAACAGAACACGCCGCCTAACTCCCTTATATAGGAAGACTATCAACACACAATCATGGCAAAAGCCATTGCAAAGTAACACTGAGAAAACTTCCCAAACAAAATATGCAGCCTCCTTTACCGTTAAACTCTTGTCCACAACTACTTCCTTTTACTGAGAAATAATTGAGACACACCAAGATACCCACTGCAAAAACCATAGCTTAAACCCGGAGATAACCAAAACACCTTGTACACTCTTTTGTTCTTTAAGATTCACTATAACAGAATTACCATGTGTTAAACCAAAACACAAATCTGCACCACTTGAATCTTCGCTTCTTCTACCTTGTCAAAAGTTTATACTCTTGAAATAAGAACCCATACGTTGTCCAGCTTATACGTAAGCTCA